GGGAGAAATAAGAAAGGAGGAAGAGATGAGGAAAAAGAGAGAACTTCGACAAATAAGTGTGAATAAATGGAAGTGAAATACAAAGGAAGACCGAAGAGAAATTGAAATTGAGCAGTAGAGGAAAGGAGAAGGGAAAGATAAAGAGCAGCAAAAGAAGAGATAAGATCAAAATGGAGGAGAATAGAGGAAAGGAAAAGGGAGGAATACAAAGGTGCAGGAAGAGAAAGGGCTGGGCTTTTACAAAAGTAGTTCAGATCCCAACTCCACTTCTCTCTGAGCACACAGACTCTACCAACCCTTCTCTCCTCCCGAAGCAACAAAATCTCAAAAGCTACTATTGTTTACTAAGTTTCTATTGGAGGACTAAGGGAACTACAAGTTTCTCTTGCACGTCTAAGAATTGGTCTCCATCTGCTTCCCAGGGCTATTCTACAGAGGAATTCCTACTGTCAGCTAAATGGCTCAGTCAGTAGCATGCTAGTAAATATTGAACAACTCGTTCTCACTTTTAAATTTAATCTTAATTATTTTCTCCATCACTTTCTAAAAAAAAAAAACCCAACAACTCAAGCACTGATTTGTAGCATTTTCCTGTTTCTGAGATGTAAATGTTCGCACTGAAAGTTCAGCAGAAGGTGTAGCTCAGGCCTAAGGTCTGGGAAAAGAAATCTCAGTCTCAGAAAGATTCTCCATCCATACTCTTGTGACTTGAGCAGACAGAAATACTGAGACTTGTTAGAAGAGGGAACAGAGTTGGGACATTACGCCTTTGTTTACATCCTCATAATCCTTAGAACTTTCCCAAGTAAGCCTCAACCAACACCAAGCCCCATTGTAAAAAAATGAAACATAAAATGTTATCTAAACACAGTAATTAGTCGAGTAAACGTGGATGAGACCTCAGAAAACTTAGGTCCTATCCCCCCAAAGGATGTGTTTAAAAAAGAATTTACTCATAGTACAACATTCCCTTCGTGTTGGTGTAGAGCCAAATTCTCTAACTAATTAAGAGGTAGGTTAGCAATAGACTTTCATTCAGGGTAGCCTGAAATGAGAGGACCCTTAGCATGGAACTTTCTTTCCAGATTCTCTGCATATATTATACAACTCTGTTTCCTTTCCCTTCCTCCCTTCTCTGAAACTCAACATGAAGCTGCCTGAGCAAAGGCAACTGCCCTGAAATTAACACTTTGGAGATTTGGGGATCAATGGGCAAGGGGTAGGAGGAACTTAACAGAGAAAGTATAGTGTCCAGATTTAGATTTTGTTTTCCTAATAGGAGACCTGTCTTCTACTCGCACCATGCCTCCAAGTCACAGACAATGTGAAAGATGAAATAAGGGAGAAAACTATCGCCTCAGCTATCTCTTGGGAAGAGCTAGGAGAAACCATCTTCCTCCATCAATCTACAAGGTATTAACCAAACAACACCATTCATTAAAATGCTTACTTTGGGCCTCCACTGGAAAGAAAATGAGGTGGAATCCCAAGCCTTCTCTGAAAGGGAAGACAATAAAAATCACAGTATTGACTCATTTATGAGGTGTGGTATAGTTGGTAAGGTGCTTTCCTCATAAGAGCTCCCTGGAAGGTATAACAAATGAGGAAACTGTGTACTCTGTTCAGAGCCAGGGACAGTCTTAGAAACCAGTGTTATAGCTGACTTTATTCTGCTCCCCAAAACCTGTCCTATGGGCTGTTTGAATTTTTTCTTATACTTTTAATTCCTGCAATTGATAAAATGTTTTTGGGGTTTTGTTTTTGTTTTGTCTTAAGAAAAGGGAGGAGGTAGTTTCAAAATGACAATATTCTAATTTACTGGGACAGGCTCAATATTTTGTTGGGTTTTTTTTTAATTTTTGTTTTTGAAAAAAAAATTAAGGAGGAAAAGCAGTACCTGGGGATTCCTCAGTAAGAAGGTATTTAAGTGGCAATGGGCATCTACAGTTGTATTTCAGCTGATATTCACAGGAACCTCTGCATGGATATGAAGAGTCACCTCCTCGAAGGGAACAAATCGGTCATATTCAAGATAAAAACAATAAAATGCGTTAGCACTGTCCCTTCTGGAGCTAAAAACCCACTTGGCAAATAATCATTCTTTCTTCATAAACCCAACATGTTTGTTTTCAATGCTGCCTTAATCTAATCTCTACAGGAAAAGATTTAATAGATAATTTTGCAGTAAGATAGAGTTTCAACAGTAATTTCCTAACAAGGCATGAGCAAACGCATCACATTTCATACGAGACTATAAAATCTAATCGTGTTAGTCCCTTTAATTCCTAGCACATAGTGCAGAGTCTTACAAGTAGTAAGTGCTGAAGAAATAGTTGTTACTATTGTTGCCATTGGGTCTGTGTGAAGAGGTAGCAAAGAACACAGGATTAGAAGTCGGGCGGGAGGTCCAGGTTCTAATCCTTGCTCTACCGCAAACACGGGTAAATCACTATCTCCCTGCACCTCAGTTTCCTCTCCTGAAAATGAGGTGAACGCAACAGATGACCTCTAAGATTTGATGTTCCGTGACTTTGTCCAATGAACGCCTTCTCCTTGGATCTGGCACTTCTGTAGACGCGGGTCATTTTTCGAGACTCAGAAATGTTGGGGAATTTTTAGATAACTCAATTAATTTGGGGTGCCACTAATTGTATTTCAAATTCTCCAAAGTCTGCTCCAAAGTAAACATTAAAATGGTTTGTCAAAGAGTTACCACTTCGTAGAAAGCTGTAAGTAGTAAAGATTCAGTTCCGAAACAAATGGCAGGGTTTCTGCCAGTAAAAATAAAAAAAGAATTACTACCTGTAGCTTAAAAAATATAATTTTTACCAGCAGATATGAAAGGAAAAGAATAATATGCATTATTTCTCTATGTATTTCATGTCAGTTTTGTTTAGTTTTTTTTTTCCAACGGTGCAGTCTTAGAGGCTTTTAAGTACTTGGGAAATACAAACCAGCTTGATTGGGATTGGGAACAATATGGTAAACTTAACCTCTTAGTTCATCTGGAAAGCGATGGTCAAAGCTTTTATCGGACATTTAAGCAAAAATCGTTTTTGTTTTGTTTTGTTTTGTTTGTCTGTTTAACATATTCTGAAGGAAGTGTACAGAAGCAAGAACCCAAAACTACACTGTGGTTTCCTTTCCGCCCTGTGCCTTCGGGCCAAACTTGGCTACCATGTCAGTCCGGGGCCTTCCACGCTCTAGCAAAGAATCTCACAATTTGCATAACGCGGTTAAACTAATGACATTCAAGTTGGCGGTCATTGCTCTTTACTTCAACGTCAAGGGACAGACAAAAAAGAAAGAAACCTTCCCAATTTCTTCTTTAAGATACAGTCTACTCACCCCACTGCACTCCATGGAAATAATGGGAGTGCATGAGTGCTGGGGGTGGGACTGTTAGGAGCAGACAGAAACAATCCTATTACCACCAGGTCTGCCAGGGGAAAGAAACGTAACTGCCACAAGTATCTTGGAGGTTTTTCCGGGCAGCAAAACTTCCCAAAGAAGAGAAAGACTTTTTTCAGAAGACATTAGTGAATCGAGGGAGAAAAATCTCACAAAGAAAAACCTAGAATCTGCTTCTACACAGAGCCTCCAACTGGGGCTAATGTTACACGTGGATCTACCAGACGATTCTTCCTCCCCATCCACCAATTCAGGGACTCGCACCTACACTCTTTCACCAAAACTCCCAAACTCAAATACTATCAACGGCACATAACCCGCGCGCACATGCAGCTCACCCGGAGAGCAGAGTGCTCGTTTGGGATGCGACGAGTCCAGGACGCACTTGGTTTCTCTTCATTTTCAGGGACTGACTGAAGCAGGCGAAGCCACAGGCCGCCGGCCCCTCCCGAAATGCCGGCTTCATGCGGGCATCCTCTTTTGGGGGGAAATGGGGAGGTATGGCAAAGAGAAAGAGAGGGTTCTCAGATGTATTTGTTGGCATTTTTCCCGTGCTTTCCTTCGGTGACTTGTTTTATTTAGGACAAGGGAGAGACAGATTTGCAGTGTAAGGTATTGTGTGCGTTTGCGCTTGGGGAGAGCGTGAAAGGGGGTAACTAATTCTCCCGAAACTGGAAAGGGAGTCCGCAAACCCCCATTAAGTGGACTTTCCAAGCCATCCTAACTCACACCTGATCCCATTGTTTGGAGCTTCTTATTCTTCTCCAGAATAAACAAAGAGGCCGCGACTTTTACTTGTTTATTCAGAATCAAGAATATAGTGCTGGAAGGGACCTCAGCAACCCTTCAGGTGTGAATAAGGAAACTGAGGTCCAGAGAGGGTAAGGGACTTGCTTAAGGTCACACAGGTAGTAGCTCAAAGGTTGAATTCGAACCCAGATCTTCTGACTTCAGAGCCAGTGCTCTTTTCACAGTGCCATATAGCTTCCCTAATCCTTCCCCTCTTTCCTTATTTAAATGAGTGTGCAGACATCCCGATATTTCCGCGCTGAAGTATTTGTTTTGTCATTTTATTCCCCTACCCCACCCCACGAGTCTCCACAGCCCAAGAATTCCAGTATTCCTCTCCTGCTGGGCAACTTTCTGCAGACGAGGTTTCCAAGGACTTGACTAGCCAGGTCCTTTGACAGCAGCCCCAGCCTGTCGCCAGGACTATACCCAAAACTTCTCCGGCTTTAGGTAGAACCTGCCAGAGCTTGCGTTTCGTTGGCATTGCCTTGTAGAATTCTGACTTTCTCCACCCCAAGATAAGGCATCCGACGTAGGCTTGTGTGGAGGCATCCACCGAGCAGCTGTGACTGCAGCCACATCATCGCCACCAATACGCTTTCAGTACAGGTGAGCTCTAGCCCAGGTGGGCGGGAGGCGGGAATAGCTGCACAGCCCCCTGAGCTCCTCTGTGTCTTTAAGGAGGAGAAAGAAGGAGGGAGGAGCTGGTTGGTGTTTGCAAAGGGGAGTGCCCGCTGCCCAGGTACAGAGAAGACTTTGCCGAAGCAGAGAAGGGGAACTCGACCCTTCGCCTGGCAAAATATAAGTGAGGAGCAAGCTGTCAAGTGGTGTCAGTTCCACGCCACCCTGGAATGGGTCCCGCACACACTATCCCTCCACGCCTCGGACCTACCAGATCTCCAGAGCCCTGAAAGCAAGCTCTGGCCCTCTGAGCCTCTGGACGTGACCGTGATTGTGGATAGTAGGCACGAAGGAGATCGGAGTAGGAAATGGAAAGCTGCAGAGAGAAAACCTACCTCAGCACGGGATCCCGCCTGCAATAACTTCTTTGCTACTAAATTCTCCATCAAACCCCCCTCCCGCCAATCCCCAATACTTCAGGTACCGAGCCAAAAGCCTTCTTGGACTGTCTCACAGCCGCCCCATACGTGATGCAAGGTGAGACAACTCTGGGCCGGCCCTCAAAACTTAAAGAACCCTGTGGATTGTGGCTTCGAGACTGTTACTGAGCTTCCTTCGCGCTTGGTACCTCGGGTTCCCCTTAGAGAGCGAGTTGTAAGGTAACTTTCCCCAAGCCCGGCCGCTTTGTACCGGCCAGGGCTGCTCCTCTTGCCCCAGCACCCTCTGCCACAGACAGGCCCCGAGCGCCTGGGCCCGGGCCCCCATTTCTCCTCCAGGGGAGCTGGGTGGCCAAGGCCCGGCCCAGGGGATGACTGAGGAGAGGCGGCATTCTCCCCAGCGAGACCGCCCCGAAGACAGGGGCCTGCAGCATCCGCCCACGCCAGTGGCCGAGGCTGCGGGCAGGAGCCTCCCCCTGATGCCGGTAGTGAAGGTAGAGAAGGAGCCCGCTGCCTGTGAGCCTTCGGGGGGCCTCAGCGAGCTGGGGGAGCCGGTGGCGAAGGCGGGCGGCGGCGGCGGGCGCAGGAGGAAGAGGCCCCTACAGCGAGGTAAGCCCCCTTACAGCTACATCGCTCTCATCGCCATGGCCATCGCGCACGCCCCGGATAGGAAGCTGACCCTGGGAGGCATTTACAAGTTCATCACGGAGCGCTTCCCTTTCTACCGGGACAACCCCAAAAAGTGGCAGAACAGTATCCGTCACAACCTCACCCTGAATGACTGTTTTATCAAGATTCCCCGGGAGCCGGGTCGCCCGGGCAAGGGCAATTACTGGGCGCTGGACCCCAACGCCGAGGACATGTTCGAGAGCGGCAGTTTTCTGCGCCGGAGGAAGAGGTTCAAGCGCACAGACCTCTCCACCTACCCGGCTTACATGCACGACGCAGCGGCGGCGGCCGCCGCGGCGGCCGCGGCGGGCATGTTCCCCAGCTCCGTGCCAGTGGCGCGCCCTCCCTACCCTGGCTCCGTGTATCCCAACGTGGCGGCCGCCATGAGCCCAGCGGGCTATGGCCAAACGCTGGGCCCCCACTCCTCCGTCTACTACCCGGCGTCGTCCCCTGGCCAATGCCGGGTATTCAGCATCAACAGCCTGGTGCACAGTCCTGGAGAGCTCCTGCAGCAGCAGCCTGCGCCGCCGCCCGCGCTCGGACGCGCGCTTAGCCCGGAACTCAGCCAGGCACCCTCGGTCGCCGCAGGCTCCTGCTCCTTCGGGGCCTCAGCCGCCGCGGCCGCTGCCTCCTATAGCAACCCGGCGTGCAGCGGAGGAGGCGGAGGTGGTAGCGGAGCCGGGCCCGCGGGCGTGCTGCCTCGGCCGTCCAACCCCATGGCCTACACCTATCCGGTTCCCAACGGCCACCTGCCCATGAACCACGGGTCATATCCTCAGGGAAACAGCAGCCAGCTGTTTGGGGCGTCCAGCAGGCTGGCAATGTCCACCTCCCCCTCGGGGGCCAACGACCCTGTGGACTTCTATGGCCGCATGTCCCCAGGCCAGATCAGTTCGCTGGCGCACAGCTACAATCCGGGCGGGCAGCTCGGGGCCGGCCCCAACGCCTACCACGTCCGGCACTCTGCCTACTCCAGCAATGTGGAAAGGTTCGTGTCGGCCATGTGAAAAAAAAAAAACCCACCACCCCCAGCCACCAAGAGAAATTGGAGCGACACGGACCCCACTCCTACTCCATCGGGCAAAAGGTGCCCTGGCGGCCAGGCCTGAGCGGTGGGGTTGTGGAGGACCAGGAGGAAGGTAGAAATAACTCAAACTGTGCAATAGGGAGAAAAAAAAAACGGTTGGGAGTCTGTGTGTTGGGATGAGGGGTACCTGAGGGAGAGAGGGGGCATGGCGAGCATTGCCTCGCGGCATTGTCCCAGTGAGGCAAGGGCCTCCACTAAAGGTTGCCCCAGAGTATCCCGCCCTTGCGCAGCGCCCAGCTAATTACAGCTTAATGTGCTCCATCACTATTCCTGTGCCCTCATTGGTACAGAATTCTTTCATGGGGCTCTAGAAAGACGAAATGCTCAGGGTGCTCTTCGTGAATGAGGGCAGAAGGCGCGGGGTGCAGGGAGAATCCGACCAGGCAACTGGAAGGGGATCAAAGACACTGGGTCCAACCTGCAACGTTCTCCCAGGTGCCTGTTTGCTTGGAGAGCAGTTCCCTGGGAAGCTGTTGGTCAACAGGCTGCTCAGGAGCATCAGCCGAAGGGAGACGTGCAGCCTGTTGCTTTGTTTTATTTTGTTCTAATGGCTTTCTTGCCTTTTCACCCAGGTGGTTTGTGACATGAATTCATTCCAGCAAACAAACAATTGGCTGCTTCCTTCGAACTTTCTTTGTATACCCGGAACAACGGGCATTTTCATACGGTGTCTGCTCCTCGTGGCTTTAACATTGTAATAAATGTCTCTGACAGCAGTCTGTAGTTTGATCTTCACTGAAACATGAAGGTTTTTGAGGGTGCAACCTTGGCTCCCCCGCTGTTCATTACTCTACTTCAACTCGCGCCATTTCAACTCCAGACCTATTTTAGCTTTGGTATACTAGTGTGAGGGAAAGTATTCTCAACTAGATCGTAAAAGGCATATGGGAGTTAATCAGGGAGACGGTAGACTAGGTCGAAATCTTGCAGCAGTGCCTGGAAGTCTCATTTCCACATAAAATAGATTCGCAAGCCGACAACCACAGCTGTTTGCCTTTTGGAAAAGCTGAGTTTGTGGTGCAATCGGAAAGCCATGAGACAGGGACTGGGGCTGGAACAAAGAGATGGAGAGACTGCGACAGCAAAATATTGGTGAGAAAATGGGGCTGGGGGAAAAAAAACCAGGCTGACTTGGTGTCTCCCCAGCTGCTCCTAGAACAGCAGGCATCACACACAATGGCTCTCAATAAAAGTTAGAATTGAATTGAAAGGCAATTTTAGTGTCTTTTCCTCCTTCAGTCCTGAATGGTTACTGTTAAATAAATAAGAAGTGAGGATGGGGGTGGGGGGGAGGACTGCAACCAAAGGCAATGAAAAGAATTTTTGTTGTTGTTCAGTCATTTTCAGTAGTGTCTTACTCTTCGTGACTCTGTTTGGGGCTTTCTTGCCAAAAACACTGGAGTGGGTTGCCATTTCCTTCTCCAGCTCATTTTACAGATGAGGAAACTGAGGCAGAGTTAAGTGACTTGTCCAGGGTCCTACAACTAGTACGCGTCTCAGGACAGATTTGAAGTCTATCCACCGAGCCACCTAACTGCCCTAATGGAAAAAAAAAATTAGGGGGAAAGAAATGGGCTTTCTAACAGACAAAATAGAAATAAAAGATCCAACCGCTTGTTAGTGCAAAAAGGCTCTTCTCTGATCCCCGAGAAAGTTTAGGGACCTAACTTTTGTTTCTGGTGAGAAATTTTCTCGAATCTAAAATTTTGTTTCTGAGGCTCGATTGAGATTTTGTCTTCAGACCAGCTAGCGTGTAAGTGGTAGAACTCAGCTTCTTGTCAGGCAGCATCACAAGTATACTAGTCAGCATTCTGGTTCGGATTTTTTTTTTTTTTAATGGTGAAGGACTGCTTAGGAAAGAGATGGAGGTCAAAAGGGAGTAGGAAGTTGTGGATTGCTAAACTGGCCATCTTTGTGAAAAACACTGATGTTTTCCTCGAACGATACAAACAAAAATGATAATATCCACAGAGAAATGCAAAGTTTGGGTCAACTCTAGAATCCGATACGCCTTTCATTACAAGTGTTTACAAACAGCTCTTGCATCTATGTTTTGACTCTCTTTACTATGAACTAGTTACTTTCAGAAAAATGTATTGCCTACATACAGTATTGGAATATAGATATTTATAAGTAGTTTTGTTTCTGGATATAGTAACACATACATTATCAGCTCTGGAGACAGAGCTTGGGTATGTGTGTGTGTGTGTGTGTGTGTGTGTGTGTGTGTGTGTGTGCTATGTCCTGGTCTGTGATTTCATCCATTTAGGAAACTTCCAGTATGGAAATTCCATCCACCAATGCAGACAGCAGCTTGACTGGAACTGTAGTCTAGAAGTGCTTACATCAAGAGCTCTTAACCTGGGGTCCAAAGTCAAGTCTGGGGATAGATTTTAAGGGATTTGTAGATTTTGGATGAGGGGCTGGGGGAAGTACATGTTTATCACTAGCATCTAACTAAAGGTTAGCATTTCCTTGAATTATGACTTTCTAAAAAGGGGGTCCATACTTTATTCTGAGAAGGGGTCCATACTTCCACAAAACTGCCAAAGGGGGATCCTTGACACAATAAAAGTTAAGAAACACTTGTTACCCAAACTGACTTGTCTGTCTTTGGTCACACAGGTGGTATCAGCTAAAGGACATTAGCCTCCCAGACAAACAAGCATACCACATCTCATTCCATACTTGCATGTGAATTATACACATACAATAGCTTAATTTTCATTGAGACAGTGAAGTAGAATGAGAAAAGCATTCAACTTTGAGTCGGAAAACCTGAGTTTGCTTACCAGCTGTGCCTGGAACTACCCCTCTGACCATTCCTTAATTTCTCATTTTCTGAATCTATAAAATAGGGATAACAACGCTTGCTCTATCTATCTCATTGGGACTGTAGTGAGAAAAGCTTACAACATAGCAGGAAGTTTGAAATCACTCAGTTTCACCCAAAAGGAGAGGAAGGAAAGAGTGAAAGAGGCTGGATTTTGGACAGAGAGGGAAAAACCTAAGAGGCAGAGAATCGAAGGATAGGCCACTATTGTTTCTTTAAGAAAAAAAAAATCCTCTCCGAAGCATGAGTATCAAGATTTTCTTAGGCCGTCATTACGATTCGTGTAGCTTTGGACGAACTCAAAGATTGGGGCCGGGGGTGGGCTGGGGTGGGGGTGGGGGTTAAATTTGTATTTTATCCCCTGGGTGAAAGCAAAGGTAATGAGAGTGGCAAGGTAGAAGAGACCCAGAATGAGCTCATTGGGAACCAATTGTAGCTGATTTAAGACGTTATACTAGGTAAGGAAAAGAAATGGCTTCTTGATTTCCTTGACGGTGAATCTGCAATTATTCGGGAGCCAACCTGTAGAAATAAAAGAGAAATTGGTTACAGGACAGAGAGTGTCTGCTTTGGGAGGTGGGGGGGGTGTGCAAAGTGTGTGTTCTTGAGAGGGGGGAAGTTGTTAACTACAAGGAATCTACCAGGTTTTGAGATAGGGAATGAATTCAAAATGCTCACTTTTGTTTCCAGGATTTCTTGTGTATTTAGCGAGAAGCTAAATCAAGAATGCAAAGAGACCTAAGGTGTTCCTTTAAAAGGCTTGAAGACAGAAGAGCGGAGAGAAGGAGTCGGTGCTTCTTTCTTTTTATTAGACCAGATATACAATTCATCAATGTAGGAAGCTCCCGGTTCGAAATGCTGTCTACCAATGCAGATTGTCATCTGCTTAGGCCACTGAAAGGGTAAGCAATTTACCCAAGGCCACACATAGGTACCAAGAATGGGACGTGAACACAGCTGTTGTCGTTTGTTGTTATACTACGTTTCTACCTTTAAAAACTATTTTCTCATATAAGCCTTTATGAAAACTAATTTTAAGTGAAAAATATTAGTGGGAACCGGGGTCATAGGTTTTAGTCCGACTGTCACCGAATTGCTTCCCTTTTCTGCCCTCATATTCCTCATCTATATAATGAAGGATTTGAACTTGGTGGTCGCTAAGGATCCCTCAGGGAACCCTTTTCCTTTCATTACATCTCTTTGAAGATATGGGTCCTATACTAACACTATATATCTTACATATTTCCCCCTTTGACACTGTCAGTATAGGGAGCTAGCCCTCCAGGAGAAATTTCCTCTAAGAATATAGCCCGCCCCTGCTCTGTAATTTATAGTCTTAGAAAGTTACCTTGTTCCCTGAGAGGTTTCCTTGATTGTCCCAAGACGAGGCAGCTACTATGTTAATAGAAGTGGTACTTGAACCCAAGTTTTTCTAACTCAAAAATCCAGGCTCTGCCACTATGCCAAGCTGCCTCTCAAGATATGTCTTACGTACCTTGTCATAATAGCAACTCATCTTTATAGAGGTAGCCCTTTAAGGTTTATAAAGTGTATCTCTCACAATAAACTTGTGAGGTAAGTAAGGAGAACATTATTGTACACATTTTGTGCATTAATTTCACAAAATTAAATTGCTTGCCCAGCGTCACACAGTTTTCAAGACCAGAGCCAGGCTCAACTCTAACCAAATCTCAAGCTCATTTTGCTCCACCACACTGCTTGAATTATGGTCAGGTCTGTGAGTACTTAGTGGTGGGTAATTACGTGGGCTAGTCTCTAATTACAGAATTCTTGTGATAATTCGCCCCACAGCCTTCTCTTTTTTTCCCTTCAAATTAACATTTATAATTAAGCTGGGGAAGCAAGCACAAAAGCAAAATTTCCTACCTCGCCTTTGCCACTGAAATGGAGATTATTAAAGCTCTTTTATCCCTTGGATTGTTTGGTGAGAGAGAAGGGGATGAGGAAACCACACATTTTAAGATTCAAGCCGCAGAAAAACTAAACTAACCTCAGAGCACTCGTGCAAGATAATCACTATTATAGTTATTGTGGCCGTTATTATCATGGCCATCTCGGTGATTACTGTTGTTATGACCATTATTGTTATTGCCTTCTTGGTGATTATTGTTATTCTTGCTAATATGTAATAACAGCATCGCTTTAATGGGTCTCCGCCAAATTCATCTCAGACATAAAATAATTATGCTTCGATACTTCAAAAGCTCTGTGGCTTCAGCCGAGTGGAGATTCCCTCTTCTAATCCACGTGGCAGCTCTTCAAGAGCCTAGTAGGCTGTCGAATTTGTTGCTGTGGCTAGAGGAAAAATGATTGGCCTTTGCCTCCCTTCCGGTGGTGAAGTTCGTACATTAACCAGATAGACCTCAGTCAGACAGCAGACACCCACTCAGTCCACTGTGCGGCCAGTACTAGAAATCTTTCCAGCCCCATAGGACTTGCCAGAGCTTGCTCTTCCTTGGCGTTGCCTTCGGGAACTCAGGGTGGTCATGTTGGGGCATCAGAGGAAGATTTTAGTGCAGAAATGGGATCATAGACTCATAGTTTTGTAACTGGAAAGGAGCTTAGAGGTTACCCTGTCCAACTCCTTCATTTTACAAATAAGGAAACTGAGGTCTAGAGAGATAAAGCGACTTACCCACAGTCCCACGGTAAAGTAAATCGCAGAGCTGAAATTATAGCGCGGGTCCTTCGACTCCGTTTTCCACACTTTTCCACACTAAGCAAGCATAACAAAAAAATTAATACGAATAGGTAGAATCTGAGGTATCTTCCAAACAGAGAGCATATTTTAATGTTTCTATCGAAATTAAAGGAAGAAGGAAGAAATTA